TTTTGCAGGAACCAGAAACTATGCTAGGTGTATGAAACAGAAGTGTTTACTATAAAATTAGGTATTTTTGTGGAAAGTTTGGAAGATTTGAAGGGTCTATGTCTAAGATGACACTTTTCAAAGAAATCAAATACAACTGGATTATTATCAGGGGAGTTAAAACTTTTGAGGCCACCGTTGCTAAATGGAAAGTGGACATTTGAACGTTGTTGAAAAGAAGCTTTAATTGCTAATAGAGCAGTCCAGACACAGGAATATGATCCTTACCTCATTTTACTTTCTAAATCTTTGTGTGGCTACATCTCATTAGATGAATCTAGCTGTAAGGGAATCTGTAAATGTAGTTTTTCTTCCCGTTTCTGTAAACAGGAAGAGGGGGATGGAGATTGGGAGAGCCAATCCAAAGTAACTGAAAGAAAACTTAAGTGGATTCTAAGAGATCTTTTACAAATGCATTTACATTTTTGACTGGCTATGTAAATTAGAAAGGTTAAAAAAAAATCTCAGGAATCTTCCCAGTCACTAGTATTATGACCTTTGTTACCACTGACTTTGCGTGCCATGTGGGACTAGCTGGCCTCTGATGTGGGGCAGAAATCCACATAGAAAGAGGTGTGATCATTGTTACTGCTCTAGCCCATTATTAGGATCCTTTTCTTTTTATTACTATTGTTATTTATATACTTTCAGAGGCACAGACTCACTCGGTCACCAGGCTGGACTCCTGAGCTCAAGTGCTTTTCCAGCCTCAGCCTCCCAAGTAGGTAGGACTACAGCCACACACCACCACACCTGGCTATTTTTTTTTTTCTTTCCATTTTTGTAGAGATGTGGTCTTGTTATGTTGTCCAGGCTAGTCTCAAACTCCTGGCTTCTAGTGATCCTCCCACTTCAGCCTCGAAAGGAGCTGAGATTACAGGCATGACCACTGTGCCTGTGTGTGTGTGTGTTTATACAATAATATCCTTAATTTTTATGCTATTTTCATTATATTCAAATTTATGATGAAAAAGAACTGGCCTAGGTAATAACATTTACAAACTGAATTTTGGAAAACTCCTGAATCTACTTACATGCTATTTATCAACTAACCTTTTTATACTGATCATCATTCATGGGAAAAAGGAAACCCTAGTCATGTACCAGCATAACTCAAGAAATACTGTCTGATGATTAAAGGTCACCTTTAAGAGTATGCTGAAAAAAAAAAAAAAAAAAAAGATCTGTGCATTTTACTAATCCAGTGTAACAAATACTAGTTGTACTCCTTATGATAAATTTGGGTGCTGGTTTTTTGGCTTCTGGTTTCTCCTGGTACTTAACTAGCATCATATATTTGCACAGTGGAATTAAGTATAGTAGCCATACAGGTTGTTAAAAATGGTTATGTTCCATTGTGGAAGACAGTGTGGTGATTCCTAGACCTAGAACCAGGAATACCCTTCGATCCAGGAATCCCATTACTGGATGCATACCCAGAGGAATAGAAATCATTCTGTTATAAAGATAGATTCACATGTATGTTCATTGCAGCACTAGTCATAATAGTAAAGACATGGAATCAACCCAACTGCCCATCAGTGATAGACTGGATAACGAAAATGTGGTACATACACACTATGGAGTACTATGCAGCCACAAAACGGAATGATGTCATGTTCTTTGCAGGGACATGAATGGAGCTGGAAGCCATTATCCTCAGTAAACTAACACAGGAACAGAAAATCAAACACCCCATGTTCTCACTTATAAGTAAGAGCTAAACAATGAGAACACATGGACCCAGAGGGAGAACCAGGCACTCTGGGTCCTGTTAGGAAGGTGAGGGGAGGGAGAGCATCAGGATAAGTAGCTAATGCAAGCAGGGCATAATACCTGGGTGATGGGTTGACAGGTGCAGCAAACCACCACGCCACATGTTAACCTGTATAACAAACCTGCATATCCTGCACATGTATCCCAGGACCTAAAATAAAATTAAATAATAAAAAAAAGGCTATGTTGTTTTTCACTATGGGCTACTTAAAAACTATATGGCAATATAGTTTTTTCCAAACTGTGCATTACAAATATTTCAGTCTTTTGTGTAGCCATGGTAGAAAATCATGAGTGTGTAGTGTATGTGCCTGTATATATGCCTTAAATATCATATAAATTCTCAAATATTTTGCCTATTTAAAGTGTGTTACATTCCTTTATTCATTGAAAAGTAAATTATTTTTCATTTCCCTGTCATAGTAAGGGCTATTTCTTTTTTTAACAATAGAAAATTAAGGAAATAAACCCAATCCTTTTAGGGATTGTGTCTCTAAATTACTAGTTGTCTTCAGCTGTCAGGAAACATCCTGATTGACCTTTAGCAAGGTAAATGTTATAGCAAAAAATAGAGTTTCCAAGGAAGTAATAGAGGTTAGAATTAAGACTATTACATTTAGCTGGGTGCAATGGTGTGTGCCCGTAGTCCTAGCTATTCGGCAAGCTCAGCTGGGAGGGTCGCTTAAGCCCAGGAGCTCGAGGCCAGCCAGTCTGGGCAATGTAGCAAGACTCTGCTGCAAAAAAAAAAAAAAAAAAAAAAAAAAGAAAGAAAGAAAGAAAAAAGAAAAAAAGGGAAGACTATTGAGTTTACATTTCCAGGCTATAGGTGGTGGCTCAGGCCTGTAATCCCAGCTACTTGGGAAGCTGAGGCAGGAGAATCACTTGAATCTGGGTGGCAGAGGTTGCAATGAGCCAAGATTGCACCATTGCACTCCAGCATGGGCAACGAGTGAAACTCCATCTAAAAAAAAAAAAAAAAAATTACGTTTCCTTATGGAGATAGGGAAAGAAAGGTAGCTCTAAAGATTTTTATCACATCTATCATAGCACCAAAAATGCCTGATTTGTAGTAAATACTCTTTTCTGTCTTGTCCATCTGCATTTTTTCCATTGCAAATGGGTTGGATGTCTGTTGAGATTTAATAAAGGACATGTTTGCTTTTCACTTTGTGAAGACTTTTCTTGGATACAGAGTTTAACCTTAGCAAGCAGGATAAGAGTTTAGTTTTATACTTAATATTTATATTGCCTGTTAATTATTCTTCCACAATATGTAAAAATCAAGTCTAGAGTATAAGTCTCAGCCTCCCAGGTGCTTGAGAAGTGTGTGCATGTGGACCTATGGCTCTTTACCATGGCCTATGGGGATCATCTGGAACACTCTGGAACACTCTGGAGTGTTGCAGGAAACCCTGGAACACTCTGAAGAAATAGTTCTCAGCACAAGAAGTCTCTCATCCTCTCTTTCCCTTTCATTCCAGCCGAGTGAGCAAAGCCACATCTGTATGAGCAGGTGTCTGACACTGGAGTTTCCGCAAGTCTGGGGCTTGTCTTCCTATTTGTGTTTGTCTACCTTTCTCTTTATTCATTCCTCCTTCCTTTCTTTTCATCTGTTATTCATATTAAATTTACCCTTCACAAGGGAATGCCCTTCTTTCTACTCAAAATATTTTTTTTCTTGAAGAGTTCCTGGTTGATGTCAGCCAACACTTAGATGTCAAAGTGCCCCATATGTTGGCTGGTTGTTACCAACCTGCCTGTCTTGTCTTGTCTTGTCTTTTCTCTTTCTCTTTCTCTTTCTTCCTTTTCTTTTCTTTTCTTTTCTCTTCTCTTCTCTTCCCTTCCCTTTTCTTTTCTTTTCTTTTCTCTCTCTTTCTCATTCCTCCCTCCCTTCCTCTTTCTTCCCCTCCTCTCCCCTCTTTCTTTCTTTTCTTTCCTTTCTTCCTTCCCTTTCTTTTTTCTCTTCTTTTCTTTCCTCACTGTTGCACTCTGTTGCCCAGGCTGGAGTGTAGCGTACTGACCTATAGTTTGCTGCAACCTTGAACTACAGGGCTCAAGCTGTCCCTCCGCCTCTCAGGTAGCTGAGACTTTCAAGCAGGTGCCAGTGTGCTCGGCTAAGTTTTACATTTTTAGTAGATACGCAGTTTTGCTATGTTGCTCAGGCTGGTCTTGAATTCCTGCTCTCAAGTGATCCTCCCACCTCAACCTTACAAAGTGCTGGGATTACAGGCATGAACCACCATGTCTGGCCATCAGCCGTCTTTATAAATTGTGGAGAACTATCTATTATCACTTCCTGAAATACCATCAGTAAAATATTAAAGTTCTAGTAAATGTGATATAAACAGTATGGCACATGCTCACAGGGTATTTACCTATGCCCATATGGATGCCAAAAATATTTTATATATTCTTACTGAAGACTCATTCAGTGATCACTTTTAAAAAGGAGTGACTGCCTTTAAAATTCAGGTTTACATTTGAAATGTTTTTAGGGAAAATCCTAATAACAAATGTTCCTAGGCTGGAAATAAGGCTATCTCAGAAATAAACTGGTTTGGCTGGGCATGGTGGCTCACGCCTGTAATCCCAGCACTTTGGGAGGTCGAGGTAGGTAGATCATGAGGTTGGGAGTTCGAGACCAGCCTGGCTAAGATGTTGAAACTCCAGTCTCTACTAAAATTACAAAAAAAATTTAGCCGGGTGTGGTGGTGGGCACCTATAATCCCAGCTACTTAGGAGGCTGAGGCAGAAGAATTGCTTGAACCTGGGGAGCGGAGGTTGCAATGAGCCAAGATTGCACCACTGCACTCTAGCCTGGGTGGCAGAGTAAGACCCAGTCAAAAAAAAAAAAAAAAGGAAAGAGGGAGAGAAACTCAGAATTTTTTCCCCTATTCCCTATTTTATGACTTAGAATTTTCTTCCTTATTCTTTGTGGTCTATTTGTTCTCAATGATATCATTTGAAAATAAGACAGATAAGGTCTTAGGATCCTATGGTAAGTAACGTGTGTAAACCACTTTGAACTCTCAGGGTACAAGCCAGGGGACACCTAGAAATCTCAACACCATCTTTCTGTAGAGGGATCTTTCTGGAAGTATGACAACAAACAGGATTTTGCTTAATTTTTTGATATTTGGATTTTTCCTTGTTTCATACTTAACTATGTCCTTGTTACCCTTCAGGAAGTTATTGACATGAAGTCTGAGGGACAGGCCACTGTAATTCAGCAGCTGGAACAGACCATTGAGGATCTGAGAACCAAAATAGCTGAACTAGAAAGGCAGTATCCTGCCCTGGACACAGAGGGGGCCAGCGGTCGCCCAGGGCTTGAGAATGGAGTGATGGCCTCCGGAGATGTCTGTCTCGAAGCTCTCAGGTTAGAAGAAAAGGAAGTTCGGCATCAAAGGATTTTAGAGGCAAAATCGATACAGACTTCCCCGACAGAAGAGGGCGGGGTACTGACACTGCCTGCTGTGGATGCGCAGCCCGGGGGTCCTCCCTGCTCCCCCGAGGCTGAAAGAGGACCTCAGACAAAGTTCTGTTCAGAGATTTCTTTGATTGTGTCTCCAAGGCGAATATCAGTCCAGCTCGACAGCCATCCGTCTGCACAGAGCATCTCACAGCCTCCACCACCTCCACCCCTTCTGTGGTCTGATGGTCAAGGACAGCCTGGGTCACAGCCGCCCCATTCCTCTCTCTCTACCGAGTTTGAAACCAGCCGTGAACACTCTGTTTCCTCTGCCTTTAAAAACAGCACTAACATCCCATCTCCACCACCTCTGCCTTGCACAGAGTCCTCCGGCGCCATGCCTGGCCTGGGCATGGTGCCTCCCCCACCTCCCCCTCTCCCTGGCATGACAGCACCTACTCTGCCCAGTACAGGCATTCCCCCACCTCCCCCTCTGCCGGGTACAGAAATGCTGCCACCCCCTCCCCCTCCTCTTCCTGGAGTGGTAATACCTCTCCCGCCCCCACTTCCCGGAGTGGGAATACCTCCTCCTCCCCCTCTACCTGGAACGGGAATACCTCCTCCTCCCCCTCTACCTGGAACGGGAATACCTCCTCCTCCCCCATCTACCAGGAGCGGGCATACCCCCTCCTCCCCCTCTACCTGGAATGGGACTACCTCCCCCTCCCCCACTTCCTGGAGCAGGCATACCCCCTCCTCCCCCTCTACCAGGAATGGGAATACCTCCTCCACCTCCTTTACCTGGAGTGGGAATTCCTCCCCCTCCCCCACTTCCAGGAGGAATACCCCCTCCGCCCCCTCTACCCGGAGCGGGAATACCCCCTCCTCCCCCTCTACCCGGAGCGGGAATACCCCCTCCTCCCCCTCTACCCGGAGCGGGAATACCCCCTCCGCCCCCTCTACCCGGAGCGGGAATACCCCCTCCGCCCCCTCTACCCGGAGCGGGAATACCCCCTCCGCCCCCTCTACCCGGAGCGGGAATACCCCCTCCGCCCCCTCTACCCGGGGCGGGAATACCCCCTCCGCCCCCTCTACCTGGAGCCGGGATTCCCCCACCTCCTCCCTTGCCGGGTATGGGGATTCCACCTGCTCCAGCTGCCCCGCCCCCTCTGCTTCCTGCATCAGGCCCTCCACTCCTCCCACAAGTCGGGAGTAGCACTTTACCAACACCACAAGTATGTGGATTTCTCCTCCTCCATTGCCTACTGGCTTCTTTGGATTAGGGATGAATCAGGACAAAGGGAGTAGGAAGCAGCCCATAGAGCCTTGTCGACCGATGAAGCCTCTTTACTGGACCAGAATTCAACTACATAGTAAAAGGTAACATGAAAGTGAGCTCATCTTTGCACAGCATGTGTCAGTATTAGGGAAGTGTTTACTTCAAACTCGGGAAAATTACCATGCATGTATTTTTAAGCACAGCTCAAAAACTTGTCTGTTGATGTTTACATCAACATACAGTGAAGCAGTTTGCTATTTAAAGCTTTAGGCTTTTCTCCAGAGGTACCAAAGGCATAAAACAAATACTATGTGTATCAGCGTGTGAGATGTAGGTACACCCATCTTTACAGTTATTGACGTATCTCTTAAAGGTTGAGGAATATATTTTTCTTAGCATATAATAGTCTGTTACCTGGTTGTAAGTCTGCTACTTGTGCCTGAATTCCGGTAAAACTATGCCTATATGCCCTCTGGAAAATGAATGAGGGCAGATAAGCAGAGAGGCGTTTGTAGCCAAATTACTTTCCATATAAGAATCTGCTCTTTGCTTTCACTACTTCAAGTTTCCATTTCTGACAAAACAGCCTAAAAATGTAAATCAGATCCTTGGGTAAACTGACTCTGGAGCACGGTTTAGTGCATACTTTAAAATGCACAGCCCTGCATTACAGTTCTGTCTTTCAGGGTTTCTTCAGAAACATGCTGCTCAAAAATGTACGTAACCACACCCCAAGTGTGAAATAATTTAGTTTTGAAAATTTCATGGCACTTGTGTTGATCATTGGCAACACAGTACAAAGTCATAAAATCATAACTGAGAATGATCATCATAAAAAAATACTTTCCACCAGGTATTCTGGTGGTATTTGATACGTCCATGCATTGTCTATGGCCCTGTTTCCTAGTCATTGAGACAGTGCTATGATACTTGGCTGTGGAGTGTTAGGTGGTAGGGAAAAAAAATGCACACTTTAAGCTTCACTGTCCTTCCTTGTTCTAACGTTTCCCGATTTCTTGAATTTTCTTTGGGTGATGTGGCAGGCATTTAGAAACAGGGCATTTACCAGGTTCGTCTGCATTTTTTATATGAACTTTTGTATTCACTAAATCATACCAGGGAGCAAGAATTTGTGTATTTTGATGACTTCTAATTTTTTAGCTCATCTTCTGTGTTGTTACCACACACTTACGTATGTGGATGATTCATTTTAAACTGTGCTCCAAACTCATTTTCTCCAGCTATAAGATAGGAGAAGTTCTTGTGTTTCATTGTTGCTTTGCTTTTAAAAAAATGTGTTTACCTTTTTAGGTGGCACTACATGACTCTGCAGTCACTGAGAAGCCAAATACAATGGGGTGACGGGAGGCAGTAGGAGTGGGAGGATGCCATCCTGTAAATATGTATTTTTTAATCCATGAAAAATCTGCAAAGCTGATGAGTCGAGTTGGGATTTTGAGATAGCAAGCATTTCTTGCCTCCCTAGCTCACGCTTAGATAGGTTTTCTTTTTACGTTTTTATACGGTGACCTGATGATGGAGAGTTCCTGGAAATTATTTCCGGGGAAAGATTTCATTCATGGATGGATGGTATTTTAACTTTCTCATGAAGTTGATAAAACAAATGGTGGTCTTAAAGAAAAAGAGTATTATTTCCTTGTTATCTTTCTTCTTTTTCTTGACCTCCCTCCTCCTGGCCTTCCTCCCTCCCCTTCTTCCTGTTTGTGCTTACTGTGAGGTAGTTTGGTTGGATGGCTGTTTTATTGTTCTTTTATTTAATTTTAGAGACTCCGGTACTTCACTTATTTGGGAAAAAATTGAAGAGCCATCCATAGATTGTCACGAATTTGAGGAATTATTTTCTAAAACTGCTGTAAAGGAGAGAAAGAAGCCTATCTCAGATACCATCTCAAAGACGAAGGCTAAACAGGTGAGTATTTTTGTGCTTTGTGAAATTGGGCAGTGTTTCTGGCATACCTGTGAACTGTCATTAGAGAAATCTTTGAAATAGTTTTTGGGCCGTGTAAACCTCCATGGACCTTAGGCAGATAGCAAAGGTTGGAGCTTTAGAACGTGTGGTTAAGACAGACTAGCTCAAACAGAACAACACATAATCATCTCCATCCAGTGTTAACGTTCCGACTTTTATTTGTTACTTCATAATACATATTTCCAAAATCTCAGCCATTGTTTCTTTCCAGAATTAGTTGCCTAGAAATAGATTTCACTTGATTTATATCCATCTGAGTGCTCCTATGGATGGAAAGAAAGGAAGGAGTGGGCAAAAGAAAACAAGCAAGAAATCCAATCCTTAGTAACTGATAATGTGTTTGGTATTTTGTTGCGTTATATCTGCAGTGGAGGCCATTAAAATCCAGTTAAACAGTCACACTGTACTTGAACTGTGGAAGAGAGACCTCGTATCCATTTCTGACCTCTCCATTTTATGTTAGATTCTTTGATCTAACCTGTGACATTTTGAGTCATAAAAAGAAAGATGGTGCACTTCGAGAAAAACACTTCCAAGCAAAAATTTTCAGCTGATATATCCATTGGACTTGTCGTAAAAGGCCATTGTTATAAGTTTCTCAAGGGTGTCATTTGGAAGGTGGAATAAAACCTCACGGGAATGAACTCCAGATAGAAAGAATTGCTAATAGTGTCCGTTTTTAGCCTGAAATAGAGAGTGGCTACATTTCTTAACTTCTGCAGGGTGGCAAAAAAAGAGGACTTGGAAGTCAAGGAATGGCAAGCGCTCAGTCTTAGGAAGCAGAGAGGGAAAAAAGGAGGCTGATATCCCCAGTGTTCTCACCCAGTAGCCCCATAGGCGTTCCAGGAAGTGGGGTGATTCCTTGAATTTTTGCCTCTGACCTGAAAGTAGTAGCTAGGCACATGACCTGGAGTTGTTTCCATTGATTTTTTTTTTCAGAACAGACAGTTTTCACCGGACAGACACTGCCAAAGCCAGCCAGGAGAAGATGGATTTCAATGGGACAGTTAGACCACTGAAACCCGTAGTTGGCTATTAATCTGAGAATAATGCAAACCCCAACATTATGCAGTTAAATTCTTTTAGAAATGTTTAATGCATTGTAGCTGGTCGCTGGTGACCTCAGATCAGTAACTGTAGTAAATGAGATGGTACCTGACACGTTGTAGGCACTCAATAAATGTTTATTAAATTAGTCAGACTACTAAGGGATGAGGACTTTATAAATATCAGTGGCGATGCCCAGTAGTGATTAAAAACCAGAAAGTTACTCATTTCATAACAGTCAGTAAGTCCAGGGTGACAATGTTATGAGGAGTAATGGAAAACCATGTTTTCTCTGGCAGAGATAAGTATTTTAAACATCTTTTCCATGGTATATTTACATATAGTACACTGAAGCTGAGTCATCACAACTCTTCTTTTGGGTTGTGTCAGAGATGTGAATTCTGTCTGGGAGACGAATATGGGTGGGGTTTATGTCGGTTGAGGAGCATCAGGGAGCCAGAACTGTCACCCGACAAATGTATAGATGTGGCATGGAGAATCTCTTGTCCAGGGGCTAAATACTCAGAATATTGAGCCATGCTCTCCCTGTTCCCAGCACCACTTTTTGGGGAGGGGGCGCTAAGAGAATACAGATAAGGAAGAAGCCTCCCAGGATGCCCAAGGCTGTAGGATTTCATGCTCTATTTGATATAGTATTAAGTTTTTAGCTTGCTGAAATATGATTTACATCTAAATCATCAAACTTCAAATTAAACTATTTGGCATGAAGGGCTCTCTTTGCATATAAACAGTGCCTCTGTGTTGAGCATCATCATCTTAAGATAATCTCCTCATTCTGTCATGAAGGCATTTCATAAATTGTAGGTAAGAGACTTTGCCAATGTCCTGGTTTGTGTTTATTGATAGTGACGCTACTGTTGACCTTCAGCCTCAAACAAGGTTTATGGGACAGTCTCCATCAGGACTCCAGATAAACTTATTCAGCAACTCCTTGGCCTGGGTCTTGGTGCTGAGCTCTGTATTTCAGATCTGTTTTTGAAGGGATAAAATATTTTTTTAAATGTGTATTAGAGAAAGAGTGATGGATTGCTGAAGAAACCGTTTTATTTAACTTCATTGTATTTGGAAGACAAATCTGTCTATTCCATTTACTTGAGACATTTAAAATTTTGTTTAAGGAAAGTGTATTTTCAGGATGCATGCAAATTGTTCCCCTTTTTATGGGAAATGTACACTGATTGCGTGTCCAGACATTTCGGTACCTTATGATTCATTTCCAGTAAAATTAATAGCCTTTAATGCTGTGGCATATGTTTATGGAGGTATTTCAAGCGATTCTTCTTATATACAATGGAAGCTGGAAGTTCTGTTTTTGTTTAAATATTTAAAAATAGCCAAATTATTTTTCTGTGATCTGTCTTCTCCTTGAAAGTAAGACTGTGGTTGAATGCAGTGGTATTTAATGAGGTGCCTGTGCTGTTTTTACTGTCATGGCAAAGACATTTTCAGTGTGATAGTAGAAGAATCCTCAGCTGGGCACATTGCCGTTTGGCATAAGGAGAAAGAGGATTATTTTCTCTGGATGCTCACACTAATAGAAATGAAGAATATCTTTTATTTCCAAATCCTTTTTTCTCCAAAGAACTTAAGACAAAGCATTTTATATTTGACTCATGGAGCATGAATTTAGGTTTGTCCTATGATGATTTCTTCATTTATCCTTTTTTATTTTGAAGTATTAAACAAAAGATTAGCTGAGAGGGTACATAGAAGTTTATCAGACTATAGTTTGACACAGTTTTTCCTAACCAAATGAGTGTGGCACTTTGATATTAGAGTTGTCTAATGAAGAACACCGTTTCTTAAGGTATAAAGAGGAAAATAGAAAAAGTGATCTCATATGATGTTCATGTTTAAGTATTCACACACCTGCCCACTTTTAAGGAAGGCTGTAGGGCCAGTAAACGTTTAGTCCAATCTCCTCCCTATTTCCAGGGTAGTTCAGTGATTATTAATGTTGGTAATGACCCTAAGGGGCCTCAGGATCTTTGGTGATCAAATAAAGTCTATAAAGTTTAACCTGCTGTGTGCAGTGTCTCAGACCTGTAATCCTAGCACTTTGGGAGGCCAAGGCAGGTGGACTGCTTAAGCCCAAGAGTTCAAGAACAGCCTGGGAAACATGGTGAAATTCTGAAATCTACAAAAAATATAGAAATTAGCTGAGTGCAGTGGTGCACAGTTGTCATCCCAGCTACTTGGGAAGCTGAGATGGGAAGATCACCTGAGTCCGGGGAGGTTGAGGCTGCAGTGAACTGTGGTCATGCAACTGCACTCCAGCCAGGGTGACAGAGTAAGACCCTGTCTCAGAAAAAAAAAAAAAAAAAGAAAGGAAAAGAAAATTTAATCTGAGCTCTTTAGCAGGAAAGTGAGAGAATTCATTTTGGAGTGATTTTGATCATAAGGGTTGCCTAGTGTCTGGTTAATCTTGTATCAGATAATGTCACAAGGAAATATATTTCGGTAAACACAGTTGTAGTAGTAATAGTAATAATTATTACAAAAGTAATTACCGTGGAAACCACTAGTCATATTGTGTTCATTACTTACCATGTATTAGTTATTGTTATTGGCACTTTACTTATATCAACTCCTATAATGCTCCTATCCTACGAGATTGGCACCGTTAGCCTCAGTTCATACTATGGTTCATGGTACAGAAACTTCAGGTAGGAGATGCAGAGGAATTCAGAAATGTTTCCAAGCTGGTAAGGGGCTGAGCTCAGGTTGAAACTCCAGCCAACTGGCTACAGAGCCTCTGCTCTTCCTAATTAAGTGATAATTATGGATGTAGAATATTTTATATGAGTCTAAGTACAGTATTTTATATGGAGACCAGAATATATACTTTAAAAAATGAATTAAATACTTAAAAAAAAGAATTTGAATGCATATTGGTTTTTCTTATATGTTCAGTATTTAAATGACTGTGATTTAAAAAAAATTGTATGTGAGACACTTTGAAAACCTTTATGATGTTTTAGCCGATTTCTTTTTCTTTTTTTTTTTTTTAGACGGAGTCTCGCTCGGTGCCTAGGTTGGTGTGCAGTGGCGCAATCTCAGCTCACTGCAACCTCCCCCTCCCCCGTTCAAGCGATTCTCCTGCCTCAGCCTCCCAAGTAGCTGGGATTACAGGGTGTGGGCTCCCATGACTGGCTAATTTTCGTATTTAAGTAGAGATGGGGTTTCACCATGTTAGTCAGGCTGGTCTTGAACTCCTGACCTCAGGTGATCCACCCATCTCAGCCTCCCAAAGTGCTGGGATTACAGGCATGAGCCATTGCGCCTGGCCAATATTTTAGCAGATTTTGACAAGTACATAAACTGTGATTTCATCAACGTGACGTCTGCCCAGTTAAATAAAAGTTTGCGTGGTGTGAGATTTAAATACATAAGCTTCTATGAGCAGTAAAAATAAGAGCCATTTGCGTGTGTGGCATATAAGTTAAAGGCAGGCAGCCACTGTGGTTAAACCTTGCCAAATGTGAAGTGATGCTACCTTTCATTTATCCCATGGTACAAAAAGAATCATCTTTGTAAAATATGTCATAGGTAAATAATGTCTAATCATGTTTAAAGGGTCTATAAAGGAACCTGGTACCCAGAATGTAAATTTGCACACGGAATTCAGCAAGAGTGAATAAGAAGAATCTGTTATTTTTTAACAAGTACATAACTGACATTTGTCACCATTTAATGCAACACAGTGAAATCTCTCTGTGGGTTTCTTCTGTTTATCAGATTAAAATTCTTTGCCCAAAGAATGGGAGAAAAAGTATTTATAATAGTTAGATATTCATTGGACTTTTAGCCTCTGGAAATCTGATTAGAAAAATAGATAGTTAAATCTGCTACTTATTATAAGAGCAGGTAAT